AGCCAAGGTCCACAGACTATTGCACCAAGATGCAAGCCTCCACCCTATCTTTCTATAAAAAACCTATAATCTTAGCTACCAGTAAAGATGCTGAAAAGCCATAAAATCTTACTTAATTTGCTTTCATTTCCCCCGCAAAAATGATGTGCAGTATTATAGGAGTCAGCTTTGAGAGATGCAAATTAACCTTTGGAAGCCACTTCGGTCATGTGCAACTTCAAATCAAACTTTATGTTGCCCATTTTAAATGTCACCTTATCTGAATTTACATAGCTAGTTCTAAGTTTCCTGATTAAAACTTCCTGATTAAAAAAAATATATATATTTACTGTAAAGTGTTTGTACATTTACAGATCAAATTGGCTCAGTAATGGGTAAACACTCCAAAGAGGGTTGAAAAACCTGAACACTAAAGGGATTAAAAACAACTTGCAGTAACCAAAAAGGGAACAAAGTACAAAGCAGTTTAATCTAGCTCCTAGTTTGGGTGGGCTTTGAAGACCATAGGAACTACATTACTGCAGAACTGCAGAGCTGAAGGTTCTTAGGTGATCAGCATAAAATGAGATGGCAGACTTGGTCTAGTTCACGTAATGACCAAAAAACCAACAGTATTCCCAGGATGGAATATTTCTTGTTTGTGTTGGACAGGCAACAACTCTCAGGGATAAAGCTCTTAAATGAGACAGTGAGGGTATGATTGCAGGGCTTCTTACTACCTATTGCTTTACTCACCCTGCGTATAAACAGAAGATTGCTGTTTCCATATTGGTCATCCAACAGTTTTTCCTTTAAAAATAAACATATAAACAAAAAAAAACCAAAGCCCAAGAACTACAAGGACTACTGAATGCAAAATATTTTAGCTTTTGTGGGGAAAATTCGAACACTGTCCAAGGAAATCATAAGTAAGCTCTGACACTTTTGCAACAAGCATTACCAGGAAGGCAACATATCAATACCTAGGCTTTTCACACTGCCTTTTCATGCTAGTTTAAAGAGTCCAAAGACGACAGTCCTGAAGATTTGGAAAGAGGGAGGAAGAAAGTTGTCTAGATGCAGGCCATTATTTTAGAGAGATGAAGGCTAAAATGAAACAAAATAGTAAACTGTCTTTGAATCTGTAAGTCCTATCATCCTTCTACTGAAAGCAAGAATACCATTTCAATCCACTTGCAGAAATGTATGTTACAGGCAATGAGTAATTACATATTATTAATGCAAAATGTGTACTTACTAGCCTTTATGATAACTGAGCAAATAAAAATGATAAGAAATGTATTTACACTAAATATTCACTACAAAATATCTAGTAAGTACAAGACCTCTGTGCTGAACACAAGACTTTGCACCCAGCTGATCTTAAAATTCTTTTTTTCTCTCTTCCTTTTAATGAAAGCTTGGAGTTTTCAAGATAACACAGTGCACAGCAAAAACTGTGTAGAGACCCTAAAAATCAATGGACCTGTAACTATTTTTAGACATTGCTATTTTCTACTATCCCTGACGTTAAGCCAGTTTTGGGGAGATTTGGCTGTGTGTGTGTTTCTGTGAGACATCTGCAATCAGCCACCACGTAAATTATCCCAGAAGCAAACTGAGAGCTGCAGCTGAGCAAGTACTAGGCTGAGCAGAGAGAACATCCAGTTCTCCCATCCCTTATATGTCACAAAAGGGGGCAGAACGTCATAGATTGTACTGTGACCTAAAAAGACACCGATTTTATATATTGAGCTCGTTTTTTGGTGGGCTTTGTTTCAGTTTTCTGGCCAGGTAATTTCTTGTTTCTAATTTTTTCTACTATTATTGATTTTAATCATAACCTATGCATTCTTTACCACAGCCCCAAACTTATTTCTGTGCTATGTTAAAATATATATATTCAAAAAAGACAAAATTACTCCTTATAATTCAAGACAGAGTTAATTTAGTTTCTTTATTTTTAAGAAAATTAGCAGGGATTGCAAGAGGTAGGAAGAAGAAGAGGATAAATCCGTCAGCCAGGAACGGACATTTTTTAAACTAAAGTGCCATCATCTGAAATGGAATGACAATTTCCATTACCCTTAAAAACAGGTGTATACTCTACATTAGAGCGCAATTCACCTCGTGTAAGGGGCTACTAGGTATCCTGTGATGCACTTCACTTCTGTCTTATGTAAGATGCTGGTGGTGTACAGATACCGTGCTGGCTCTCTGAACAGCTGCCTGCGGCTTTCACCTACTGAGATTTCAAAAGACTCCTTCGAAATGGAAAGAATGGAAAGACTCCCATTGACTTAGTGGAAAGGACACCAGGCCTGACATGAACACAAGATGTGTTTCATAATCTAACTTTATCAGCTCAGCCTTGCTCTCACTGAAGTCAGGGCAGTTTTGCCCATGACTTCAACAGGAGTAGCACTTAGGTTCTACGAGTCCGAGCTAATTTAGTAACTCATGAATGATAAACAAGAAAGGTTTGGGAAGTCAACCGTTCTTTTTCACTGAATCTCTAATTAAGTACCCTTCACAATTAAGTTATTAGCCTTTAAAATAAGCAATTCTTTGAGCCAAGACATGTTATCCTTACATACGCCGAGTTACAATATTTGACTCTTCAGGTAGTCTGGTTTACTATTCTGTATTTATAAGATTTCTTGGGTTTTTTCTGTTTTCCTGTTTTCTTATTTGCAGTTATGCAGTAATCAACTTATTTTAAAAACAAGCAGAGAAAGAATGTGATATGAACCAGGAAGTGAAATGGTACCGGGAAGAACAACCTCTAGGAACACCGGGACTAAATTCTATCATTTAGAGAAAAAACAAACAAACAAAAAAAAAAAACAACCTCAGGGGAATTTTTCTTCTCGCAAGCTTAAAGGTAGAATTTGCCCATTCAAAACATGAGGAGTACCTTTTTCTTATATACTTCTTGTCACCTACCACAATCCATGGTTTGATTCACCAAAGTAAGTAGCTTCCATTATTTTGGATGGTATCTGAAAAATCCTAGTAGTTGTGTCAGTTTAGTCAGCACCATTACTGAAGATGTTGCCATGCCATTCCTATTCTTAGTTTCTTCATTACTGTTTTTCCATTCGATGCTTGGTTTTGCCTTACTGCATATTTTTTTTGTCTTCACAGCACTGTCACCTGCTGATGTAGCTAGTGCTCTAACCGTACTGAGACTTTTTGCACAGCTGCCAGTACTAACTTGAGCTGTGTGGCCAAGTCCAGGTTGCTAATCTAGAGAATGACGTCCCTGTCTTGTGCTTCCACGCCCAGAAACTCGCTGTCTGTGGTGCGGTGTAAAATTACAGGCTACCTATTACTGCCAGAAGTCAACACTTTCATCAGTTAACATTTCTGTGGCATTTTTTCATGCTCAAAGTACAACTAAAATAATTGTGCCTCAATTCAGTTCTGTAGGACAGCTATTACATAGCAATTAAATACCATTTATCAAAACAGAGTTGCTAGTTGAAGTTGGTGATTGAAGTTTAGCACCCACAAGATACAAATTGCTTCAGTGGAAACATTTTTTGAGCTTTTCTGAAAACCTTCTTGAAGGTCAAGTGAAATCACCTACCTCTTTTTTTACTTTTCCAAAACAAAGACTTGAAATGAGCATACTGTTTCTGCATATGCACTCATTTTACACATGAACCCAGGCCACTAGGAATCTTCACAGGTATGTTTGTTTACTGGTTGCAAACTTTATAACACTCAGCTCCATTAGAACAACTGAAGCCTAATGTTCCTTTTTAGTGGCTATACGGCCATCATAAAATGGGTACTTCATGCTGGCAGAAGGCCCAAACCCCCCAGAAGCAAAATGGATGAGAGGAGAGTAAAGTGGCCATTGCCCCAGCAATGGATAAATTAAAATAACATTATTTTTCAGTATTAATTTTACATTAAATGTGGAAGTACTTTATTTAGGAAGCCTTAACCAAATGTTTCAAATTTTGGGTTATGTGAAATTACAAACTGAAACTAACTTTATGCTCCTTATCATAACTCATTTTTAAAAAGAAAAGTACACCACCAGATTGCATTGCCTTTCCTGAAAATTCCAGGTGCTCAACATCCATGAAAACCAAGCAGGTTTTATTGAGGAGCTTAAATTTGGACTTAGCAACCTAATTTTAGACTCTGAAGTTTGAATTTAATTTAATGTGACACTATATTCCTGTACAGGCCAAGCTTGGCCTCATGTTCTTTAAATAAAGCACCTTCAATTTTACTTGAAAGGATGATATCTAAATCAAAATAGAAGGTTATTTTGTCTCCATTGGTTCTGAAGCTAGAACAAGTAGTCATGCAAATTATCATACTAATTTATGCCAAAATACGTGGCATATTTGTAACAGGTATCAAGAGCAGATTAGTACAAAGTACTGGGCAGAGACCAAAAGCTGCCAACTTACTCTCCTTAGAACGTGATCTTACAGGTATCTGTTGAACCTGTTTAAGGCCACTGTATATCGTATGGATGAAAGAGCAGTTATTAATAAACCGATATGCACAAAGCACTACACCATTGCATTTTGTTCCAATTTTAAATGCACTGGCGCTTTAACAAAAATAAGCTGGATTTCTGTAACAATTTAAGTATGGCAGTGGTGTAACTAGGAGCAAAACCCAAGCACTATCCCTGTGTGCCAGTCACAAGGTGTGTTCAAGAGGCATCCATGACAACCTTTCAGAAAATCATCAGTTTTCTTCGCAACAATCATTTATGGGAATCCATGAGAAACTCATAGAGAAAACAAATCCGAACATGCGGATGGCCCCAGTGTTTTTCTATTTTTCATAATCAAAATAAACATGGCAGGGAGCTTAACATGACTGACAGAACTCCCAAAGAAGCCCAAAGGGGCTTTTTCATGAGTAACGTCTGCAGGACCAAACACTATGAAGAATGAAAAGGTACAGTCTGAAGTCCTAACAGGATCTAGTCAAGGATTGCACTATTTCACTCTGAGCAAAAGGAGGAAGTTTAAAGAATAACCAACCTTGAATTGTCCTCTTGAAGAAAGCCTTGCAGGCCTCGCAGGAAGCCACTCCATAGTGGTAGCCTGATGCAATGTCACCACACACCAAACACAGTCTTTTGGGCATCGAGTTCAGCATATATTCACACTTGGTCTGTGAATCTTCAGCAATGGTACTGGAGCAGTCATCATACCGTTTCCTGACTGGCCCGTTGCCCCCAAGCCCTGTGGCTGAAGGGTAGAGGGGAGGTGAGTCCAGCCCGTTCTGATGTCCATTCATGGTGGAACTGTAGCTCCCGCTGGCGTCTGAGGAGCCACCAGGGCTGTGGTGGTTGATGCTGTCCGTCAGAGAGGCAGGGCTCGACGGTTCCGTCTTGATGTATGACGAACAGCTAGAATCAATGTGTCGATCTTTGCTTGACATTCTGCAGAGAAGCCTGTAGTGGGGAGAAAGAGAAAGAAGAATCTGTGTATTAAAGACAGTGCTCTTTAAGGCTGCTCTGGAAGGGTTAGGGACTGCACATCATTCATTTATTAGTCAATACCTCTTGTTCTACATGAAGGTAATCAGCATAAGGGCATGACAGAGCTTTGTCAAAGCTCCAGACAGGCAGTAAACAAAAAGTTTAAAGAGACCAAATCCGTCTGTTGTCCCCTCCACCTGCCCTCTAGGCTACATGTCAGCTTCACATCAACTCTAAATTCTGAACTTGTCATCTACTGAGTCAAAAATTTGTTTAAATCCTATTAGATGACTTGGCTATTGAATGTCTTCCTTTTTCCGTCGGTACCTTCTTTCTGTAAATTCCATCGTTATCAGGAACAAATATTTCCAAGTCTAATCACATAAAACTTCTGCTCTGTAATTAATATTTGTCAAGACACTTGACTACAACACGTATCCATCATCTATTGATCTAATCCCAGAATTGAAGAGCGAGTCTCCCACAGTCTTTTTTTTTCTTATTAATATTGCTTCATTATAGATACAGCTATTTAGGAACAGAGTAGCACATCAACTGGGAACTCTAACAAATAATTAAGGCTAGACTCCATTTTCACAAAATCTCAGTGAAATGATTCATCAGCTCTGGCTGTAATTACTTTCTAGCCATTATCCTCTATAGGATCTGACATTTTACATGTTCCACTCTTGGATTAAAAAAAAAATATATATTAGAGGAAATTTTAGATAGAAGTTTTGTCTTTCAGAAGGTGAGATTCTGTCTTACTTCTCAGTTCTCACGTTTTCAGAATTAAGCATCTGAAATAAAACCATATAACATTTCATCTGACAAATTAGTGCTTTCTACAGGGGGGGGAAAAAAATCTTCTTCGTCTATTCCATCCTCAAGTTTTTTATTATTTTTAAACATATTTTAGGGAGAACAAGGAACAAAAATAATAATTAGAAAGCTCCGAATCAGATACTATCTTCATTTTCTACAGCTGTGATTATGAGACCACAGTAGCAAATGGCCTACCCAGCATTTTCCTGACAATACTCTCAGAAGCTGCCAAAATACAGATGCCAGTTATGAGCATTTCTCTAGAAACATTTTCAGCAGAAAAGCAACTACCCCATAAGGCCACCCACCTGGAGCTATAGATTCATGTTTTCAAAGCAAATGCATGAGTCCAGACAATTTGACTGACTTAACTTTCTAAAATAATTTTTGAGATCTTCACTTTTTCACCTTTTCGTGTTTAAAAAAAAAAAAAAAAATCCATTTCTACTTCAAGATCTGGAATCAAATTCACCACTGGAAAACAGACATAAAACCAGAGAGTTGGCTTCCTTTCCAATGAGGGTAACCGAGATCAAAGCCTGACCCTTCATTAAAAATGTCTGCTTAGGATGAGATTTACCCTAAAATCAGTGCTTATGGATCTTATTTGGGACCTCTCAATTGCTGTGATTTTTACTGTAAAATTCTATTGAAAACAAACGACACATGAATTTGGAAAACAGCCAGATTGATGTGCAGAAATGTTACCCTCCGAACTTAAAATCAGTACTTATTTGGGGAGGGGGAAGGAGCAAGCTATCTGGTGTCAGCAAATAAACCAAGGAAATGGGAAGGTTAAAGCCGTGAAAATATCTTATTACATTGGACCACCTGCTTGTGTTGTCCTTTCCTCAAGAACTGGAGGGGGGGAAATCCCCTTGCCAGCCTGCAGTAGCGTGTGCCTTTTCTTCTGCATCTGCTGCCTTGTAGCCGTCACTGTTAATGAGTGCTGTAATTAATAGATAGCTCTCTCTTGTCTCTCTACTTGCACTCTGGGCTAAGCACTTTTCTCAAGTCAACGTTTGAAAGAAAGCGGGTCGGCACTGACTTACAGCAGCTCTGTGAATTCCTTTTAATTTAGAGCACTTACACCACCACTCCACTTATTACCTTATAATTACTGGACCGCTCTCACATACATTATGATCTTAGACTAGAGTTAGAAGTTATTAGGGTACTAAAACATGGTGTGTCTCTGTCTCTCTCTCCCTTTCTTTGACACTGAATTTTATACAGCTACGATTAAAAATATCAATTAACTTTCATATTCTACCAACTTATTTTTTACATTATTTTTCTATACACTAAGGTCCTTCTATTAACTAAATAGGTACTTGGTCTTCTCTTCATCTCCCTGCTGCTGAGACTCCACATATAGTCTCAAAATACAGCAATAGGAGTCACTGCCTACAGTCTGTCATAACCAGCTTGATGGCACGTTCTTGTCTAAGACTCCCGCTGCTGATTTTTTTTTCTAATCTGTGCAATAATGAGCTCGAATGTCACCCTTCCCTTCCCAGAAAAAACATTTGCAATTAATTAGTTGTCCAAATGCATGTTGTCTTAGCCAGTGCGAAAGTGGCTATCTCCCACTCCAAGCGGTCAGAACCAAAATATAATCTCAGGTCTACAAGCATTAAAATCTGATCACCAGTGCTGCTTAGGCAAAAGCCAGTCTGCTGATGCTTCTGAAGTAGCAGTTTCTGGTATTAACCAAGATAGAGCTGCTTTTGGCTACAGCTGAAACAGCACAGACTGGACTGGTGCATGCTGGCAAAGCACAAATGCAGTTAAAACATTAACCATTCCAAGGAAAAGCGAAAACAACAGCGCCTGACTCTGAGAACAAAAACTTTCTCGATCCCCCAACGAAAGTGAACCAGAGACAAGGCTGGGTACACTAGCTGTGGGTGGGCAACAGACACCTACTGCTTTCACTCCTTCGTTACTGTACCACATCTGAACGAAAGTAATTCAAGAGCCATCTTATACCGATGGCAGGTGGGACCACCATCAAATTATCATGCTGAACATTTGGAATAATGCCTAAGCTAGATCTCTGTAAAATCCCTCCCTCAGTTCCCTCCTAATTACTACTTAGCTCGTTACACTGAAGAATTCCTAGACACCATTGCATTATAGTCTAAAACTACAGTTGGAGCTTAATTCTCTCTTCCTCTCCGTGTCTGAAATTCTACAGCTCTATTATTCAAGCCTGAAATATTCACAACTATCTATAAATTCAATTGTCAGCCGGTGGGTTTTATTCTAGACCTCACTTCAATCTAAAATTAGAGGCACTAAAATTCACATTAACTCTAAGAGGAATGTAGTGAAAAAGACTTTATTTCAAAAGAACACCTTTTTGTCAGAAAGAGCTATTTTCAAGATGATGGCTTTATCTGCATTCAAAGAGAATAAGCCCAATTCCACATTGTGCTGTTAATGCAAAATTTTTAGGTCACATTGGATTAATAAAAATCTAAATTTAGTTAAGGTTTATGAATAGAAATAACATGTGTCATATAAAAACGTACAGTATTTATTTTAAAGCCTTGGTGGGGTTGTTTTTTTTCTTTACTAGATTTTAAGTCAAATAGATGGCAGCTCCATTTGTGGTGGGCTGTTCTCGGGTAAGTTTTCTAACAACTGGTAGCTCTCGGGTAAACCTTCCTTTCAGTAACTTTAGGGAAAGTAACTAATTGGCTCTAGAAGCATTTCCATGCCCATATACAAGAGAAACTACATAGGGTGCTGCAAGTAACATGCAATATATAGCACGACTCTTCACATCTCTACTAAATTTACTTCACAACTTCTTCGTTTAAGTAAGACCTGAAGCCAGTCACCGCTGGCAGAAAGGTACAATGACAGAGCACTTCAATATGCAACTCCTGCTTTAAAATGGTCTTAAACAATAGCGAATAAATTGTAATGCTATGTGCTTATGAAAGGTTGAATATATTAAGAATTTATTAATGCAATCACATTCATATTTCCATCTACCTGCCACATTACTAATGATATTGACAGTGCTGACACTGGTTAAATCAGTATCAATATACAAGTGGAGTGCAAAAATTAGCTGCATCTGATTACAGTATATAGCCTTAAAAAAAGCAAGCCTTCCCATTCAAGCCACTGGGAGCTCTTTATAATCCATCCATACATGCAACTGGTTCAGAAAGTTACTCTTCCCTCATCTCCCTTGTTACCAATACCTAAAGGAGGTCAAAACAACATGCCAGTACTTCATAATCTGTGAAGACATTTCATGCTCATTTTTCAAGTAGGAAAAGCTCTGCTTACAGCATCATTCGCTACTTCAGAGCTGCGCTGGTGGTTTCAGTGACAGTAATAATTAGTCACAATAATTAGAGTGAGCACCTTTATTATAGACCAACACAAAAGTCCACTTTTACCTGCACAGGAAGTTTTTCTTTTCTTGAAGAGAGAATCACCCTATTTCCATAAATGTCAGAATAGGTTGTTAGCAGTTGACATTTTTAATGACAGCTACTACATGGGAGCATCAGCAAGGCAGGTGTTATTATGGACACCTAGGTACTTTTTACGCTAACAGTACAATCCATCTGATTTTACTCCAATACATTTCTCTAACTCACATGGATGTCAACCAAAAAGGTCTTAACTTGTTATCCTCATACTTTACCTATGACAACCAATGCATGAAAGAAAGTCTTGGTCTAGGTGACACAGTAAGTCTGTAGCAGTCAGGAATGGAAGCCAGCTCCTTGCTTTGACTGTAAAGACCACATTTCCTCTCAAATACTGTACTTACTTTCAGTATCATTTCACAGGTCTATACCAAAATCAGTAGACAGAAAACAGTGCAGCATGTTCCAGTGATTGCCCATACTCTGCTTCTCTGAATGCAAGAGGGAAAAAATGTTTGTGTGGAAAGAAATGAAAATGTTGCATCTTGCACCGACGCCCACGACAACACCTCAAGACTTTCACCAGGTCCTGTTAAAGAGCTGAGTAACAATTTCAGCCAAGCTGCTTGCTTTACATTGAGCAATTTTTTCTGCTTCTGCTAATTGCACTCTAGTAGAGTGGCAAAATGTGAATCACTTAGTAGGAAAATGGGCACCAGCTGCTATTGTCAAAGAATGGAGACGCCGAAG